TTTACGATGCGGTATCTAGACCTTCTGAGGGCTATGACGCTGATCTATTGACCTGGAATGACATTTTCAGACTATTATATCTTATGACGACCGCAGCACACTGTAGGGAGATGAATACCTTTGCACTTCTTTTTTGTATTCGTACGTTTCCTATAACAGCCGCAGGCTACTGAAGGGTACTGCGTAACAATATATAATAGCTATTCCCCAAAATAATTTTTCAGATTTTCATTGTGTATGGCCCATAACGTTAATGAACGTCAAAACATCGTTTACCGATGGACCAGAGCGTCCATTAAAGCTTGGGCAGCGAAAGCGTTAAAATATATCTATATTCTTTAAGTAGCCTTTATCTATACAAACATAGATAATTTTTTAAAGACTTATAATTAAAAAATAGTGAATATAACACAAAAAAATACAAGTCAAATGTCAACTCAGAGTTTAAAATAAAATATTTTAAAAAAGAAGGTTTGTGATATGTAACGGCTTAAGAGTCTAACTACAGTCAAATACCACAATTGTAGAGAGTGACTCACATTTTTAACATAGAGGTATATTCTCACTATAGGTCAAGTCACGGTCCAGTCATGGTCCGATCAAAAATGATTTGTCATAATTTTTATGCTTTTAAATGAGATTTCGTTTAAACCGTTCACACATGCCGGTTATCGAACAAGCAAGTCACGGGCCCATCAGTTCCAACAATATTTGACCGGACCGTGACTGTCCGTTGACGCGCAGACCGTCTAGTCAAACAAAAAAGCGGGTTGTCGGCATTATCCAAAAGAAAAGAGTGAAAAATTTTCATCTGAGAACGATCTTAAACATAGTGAAAGTTTTTAAGCTGGGGAAATCGATTCCCTAACTGTGGTACCATTTTTTTGAAGTTTATTTCTAATTGGCAAATAGTTATTTACGTAACTAGTTACGAAATGCCTTATTTTGTGTAATGAGTAAATATATGCGGGACGAGCGGAGCGTGAACGAGTTACACAAAACGGTATTTCGTAACGTCCTGCATTCAAGATTTTTTCTAATTTTGACTCGATTATTTATAAAATGGGCCCGTTCACTTTCATTTTTGAATGTGAATTATTTATGTATTTATAAAGATATTAAACTCTTTTGTCTGGTGGTACTTTTCCCGTTAAGATATTTTTGCTAGAAGTAAGGGAATTCCCATAAAATTCTTTCAGTGACTCATTGCGTCAGAAAACCCCTAATTCCCTTCAGGTCTGGTATCGGTTAATAGTTAAAAGGGCGCGGTTGTCGGATGTATCATTGCACCACCATTCCTCTTCTGCATTTATTAAAGAAATTTACATGATAAAAATATATTATTTTTTTAAAAATAATGTGTTTATATTTTCAGATAAAGCTGGAAGCCTTACCTTTTTTAAATTTTAATACAAACAATTAGTATTACCATTGTATTTAGAGAAGATAGTAGAACAACCTTATGGACGTTTCATTGGAGGCAATTCTGTCGCGACATCTGTTAGAAATTCATCAAAGTAGCCCGAACGCTAGCGCTTCCTCGATCATTGAGTACAGAATTCTATATACATAAAATTTTCTTAATTTTTAAATTCATATGTGTAGAGTGCTAAATTTAAATAACTATTGTTTATATTCTCTAAAATGATAATAAATCGTAAATAAATGTTCAACAAGCATAATTAAACTCGTATATTCCATTTTTAAAACAAATATTCTGAATCGATTATGGGCCCATCTATTAGTAAATAGAGAAATTACGTTCGTTTCAAAGACGACAAAATTATCAAAGACATGACTTGGACACCACGGAGCTTGCTGCCATCTATTGATATTGTCCATTGTCCTCTAAGATAATTTGCATTGGTATTGTTTTACTAGTTGATCTAAATACAATGGTATTACTCAAGCTGAATATTACCAGATCGAACTTTTATTTGAGAAAATGTATCTTGTAAACGTGACAACGTTGTAAGTACTTCTAACTAGTGTTGTCTACACACACTTCTAGAAATAAATGCAACGTTGCCACGTTCACCAGATAAATATTGCAAATCAAATTTCTACTTTTTGATTATGGTCTGGTTAATTTTCAGCCTGAGTAATAATAATTGTTTTAATTAAAAAGTAAAAAATAAGCTCCCAGCTTTAAATCTGAAAATATAAGTTCATGATTTTTAGAAAAATAATGGAATTTTATTATTTAAATTACATATATAAATGCAGAAATGCTATATTAGGGATACTTCCGACAACCTCGCCGTCTTTAAGCATAACCGATACGAGACGTGAACGGAATTAGGGATTTTCTGACGCAATGAGTCACTGAAAGAATTTTATGGGAATTCCCTTACTTCTAGCAAATATATCTTAACGGGAAAAGTAGGTACCACCAGACAAAAGAGTTTAATATCTTTATAAATATATAATTAATTCACATTCAAAAATGAAAGTGAATGGGCCCATTGTGTTTGGTTAAAATATTATTCACCATCATTCTTTTGTAAGTTCTTCCAATCAAACATTTCTGGGCAGTTTTCAATAGCAGTGTTTAATTATTTAAAAAATAAAACGCAATTTACAACTTCTATTTTTTTTTTTGTGTCATCGGCATTAACTGCTATGGTTATTAGCCTCGTGTTATGTGTAGGCTTTGTTACTGTTTCCCAGCGCCACTTTAGAAACAGCACTATTAATTAGTACCCAACAGTGAATGGTCGAGTGGGGAAATCTACCAAGGCATCAGAATTAATTTTAAATAATTAAATTAAATGAAAAAATCTCGGCCAACGGTGGGATTCGAACCTGGGACCCTTGGATCCGCAGGCAGAGACTCTACCACTGAGCCACCCACCCCCACTTTTATTTTTGTTTCCTTTTCTGTTGTTAAACGTAATGTTAAATGTAAAATGTCACTATTCATTGCCTTTTTTCGGTTTCTCGATTTTTGGTTTTTTTAGATTTTAGATTTTTGATATTTTCGATTTTTCGTTTTTGGGTTTTTCGATTTTTTGAGTTTTCGATTTTCGACTTTTCGATTTTTTGATTTAAAAACCAAAAAAGAGGCATTTTTATTTATTTTTATTTTGTAACTGGTGACATAATCAACTTTTCGTAATCAGTTGCATAATGCTCTAGATCGTTTTGATACTTGCTGCGATTACAAAATATGTTACTTTATTGTCAAAATTAGAAAAAATATGTTTTATAATTCTTCAAATTTTCATTCTATAATGAACAAAATATTTTGTTTTATCGTTCATAAGTTTTTCATGCAACGTAAAAAAATCGTCTTCGATTTTTCTTTTGTTTTTTTTAGCATTGGATGTACCCAAAATCTTCTTTTTTATTTATTTTTTATATTTTTTACTGTTGAAAACATTTTCGCGATGCTACAAGCAAAAATATTCTAAAACAACACTCAATACGCGATTGCCTACTGGTCGTTGGAAAAACTGGTCTAATATGACGATTACATGACCCGATAGTGTGAATGCTTTCAAAAAGATTTGATCGTGACCGGACTGTGACTTGCCGTGCCTTGACCGGCTAATGTGGATAGACCTTAAACCTTTACGGGTCTGAGGGGTGTAACAGGTTAAAATGGTGAAATCTCTATTTTTAATTTATTTTAATAGTTTAAATATAAATTGGACTAAAAATGGCGTTTCTTATCTGTTTCGATATTTGAGGATATCTATTTCGATATTCTTATTATATTCTTCTATTATTAATAGGTGACAATAGTTGTTGTTTCAGTAGAAAATAAACAGAACTATCTCCTGTTTTTGCCAATTTTTTTTTGAAAAAAAAAAAAGTTCTGTACTGTTCGTAAGTCGAAATAAATTAATTTGATATTAGCAAGATACTTACTGTGGATAGTAAACACTGTGATATATTTTTTTTTGTGATTTATTTGTAAATCTTACACCCTTGCTAGATTTAGTAATTCGATTTTTAAAATTGGTTCATTGAATTTAATATTTTTCTTACTAAGCCAATCTGCAATCTGTGCTTTTCTCCATTTGGTGGTTGGTAACTGTTCTATACGCCGGCTGTGGTATGGAGCGTTATCCATAACAATAACAGATCCTGGTTCGATTTTTAAAAGAATACCTGAAAACAATTCCGGTCTCTGCTGATTAAATCCCTATCAGCGCGCCTATGATGCCGCTTCAACGATAACATCCAAGCAAGATTCATATGCGTTGTTGCCAATAACGTCGCTTTAACCTGCGATGACAGTGTGGATCTCGGACATTATCTACCGTTAGATAAAGATGCAAACTACATGCTGCCAATGTTCCATATTACTAATCGCTTAGAAGACGTCTGAACAGTTTAAAAAAAGACCAGTCAAATTATTAAAATTATTTCAACAAAATGATATCTGTTCTGGAGGAAAATAATAAACAAATGAATTAGTTATTTAAAAAAATCTGTACGTATAGCCTTAGAAGAGTGAGTAGAAGAAAAAGGTTTTAGCAGAAGAAGATGGTTTTAGTAGAAGATGAAGGTTTTTGTAAATTTGTAAATAAATTTTGCAATACCCCACTTTTTTTGTTTATTAATTAATACTGAATATTTCTCCTTCTGTCGGCATTCAAAAAATTAACAACTTTTAAAAATAACTTTTTTTTGTACAGGGAAACATCTAACTTGATTGGCCTATAAAATTTCTTTACAACATGAGTCACTATCTACAATTGTGGTATTCTACTGTTCAAACTGCCGCATTAAATAAATTTCTCCTAGTAACATAATAGCCCAGAAACAGCAAAAATGTGTACCTAACGTTACATTTTTGATACATCCTATATTTCTTTAGTATTCTGACAATCAGATAATGCTGCACTGTTTTAATACAATTATATTCCACAGATGATTCATTTTGTATTAAAAACCATTAATTCTTATTTTAGTTTTTTTAAATAAAAGTTAAAAAATAGTTAATCCAATTAGCAATTTGATTATGCACCTTTAACACTGTCAATACTTACAGGCTTTCCACCTAACCTATTTTCAATAGTCCAATATTTTTTACGGACTTCGTTGTTAAAAGGTTCGTTGAAAATCAGTTTTCCTTTACATGTACGGATACCACTATTTATAACTGTTACAGTTTCTTCACAAGGCTCTGTTGGTACCGAATGTGGATCAGGTGGTCGAGTTGTAGTAGTAGTAGTAGTAGAAGTGGATGTTGTAGTGGATGCTGTAGTTGGTTGCTGTTGTCCAATATTGCCAGAGTTTCCATGATTACCACTATTACCTTTATTACCATTATTGCCTTTATTACCACTATTGCCATTATTACCATTATTACCACTATTACCACTAGGTTTTTTCAACAGTTCTAAAATAAAATATTTTATTCTATTATTATAGTTAATAATTCTATTTATATTTTAAAGATTAGATTTTCAACCAATTCAGTAATTTTGAGCGTTTGTATGTAAAAATAATATATAGACATTAGAGAAAAATGAAAATTTTTTTTTTTGCATTTTTGCTCTTAAAATGATCGAAAACGTGGAGAAAAGTGTTAAAAAGTGGTGAAAATAAAATGTTTTTGGCTTCATTAAAATGGTTATTATGTGATAGAGAACAAACATTTTTAAAAGAAAACAGTTAAATTTGAAAAGTGAGTCAATGAATGAATAAAACTAATTTGTGATATTTAAAAACATTAGAAAGGCTATGTGATGGGTACATGATTACAAGAACACCACTACATCCTAATCAACATGCGTACACCCCAGGCAGATCTACTGATTCAGCCCTTCACCTAGTCGCTGATCAGATAGAGAGATATTCCTGTACAATAAGAAGTCTGCCTTGGGTGTTTTCATAAACACTAACCAACCGGAATGTTTCACAGTAGTTAGTTGGTGGATACATAACATGCTCTAAAAGCGAGCACTAAAAATAAGTGTAAAAGATATGAATATAAGAGGCTTGGTTGCGACGGGATGTCCACAAAGAGGGGTGCTATCACCTCTACTCTGGAACATGGTCCTCGACATCCTCATCAACCGCCACAATAAGAACAGTCATTACACAATAACGTATGCAGATGACCTCTTCATTCTGCATAATGGGAATTTTGAGAAAATACTCTCAGAATTATAGAACAGTGGTGCAAGAATCATTCACTATCTATCAATCCCAAGAATACAGAAATGGTTCTTTTCACAAGGAAAATGATGAAAATGGAATTAAAACCTCCAGAACTCCTAAACACAAAACTAAACTTTGCAACAAAGGTGAAATACCTAGGTCTCACCTTTGACAGCAAGAAAGAAGGGATAAAACAATAAAATGCAGAATTGCCAGTGAGCTTCTGACTTGACTATGACTAGACAGAATCTGCGTTTGGTTACAGACATGCTGACAGGTCATTGCCAAGTACAGAAGCATCTCCATATCATGGGTTTGTCAGAATCCGCTCTCTGCAGGGGGTGCAAATATGAAGATACCATTTAGCATATCCTCTACGATTGCCCGACGCACTCATGTAAGATTTGTGACGAGTATCAGCTAACACTGGCCGATATAAGAGGAGCACTTTTGGCGAAGTTTGTCAAATACATTAAATCGGTAGGCTGGCTCACGAGCTAGGAAGTGACTATCACTTTAGAAGGATGCACGATGGGCCTGGTTAGGCCTAAATGCCGTGGTGTAACCTCCCCTCCATAAGTTACAGATACAGACAAATGATATTTAAAGTAGTTACGAAATTTTTAATTAACTAATGATGTGAAGAAATGCAAATCCACATTGGTTAAAATTCTGTAAATAACTAGACATCAGCAGGTACATTATTTACCAAAAGACTAAAGAAGCTGTAAAAAGGTTCTATGGAATAACTTTCTAAAGGCAACAGCAGTGGCTGATCGTCAAAAATATGGAGTATGGAGTAGATCTGCTATAGAGCACGGCCTATTTTATCTTTAAAGATCCTGGAGTATATTTCACATCCTGAGCCTTGTTTTGTTTTAGAACCGTCGGTGTATATATGAGTCGTTTCTGCCACTTTTGGCACTTCTATTTGTTCTATTATAACTTTATATTGCTTATGAAAGGTATATCTTGAGATGAAGTCCATGTTCGATTACAGCATTGGAAGCGTATCGAGCACATCGTAATCAAAGTATGTGACATCCTGTCCAAAGTGATGTCTCGCCATGTTCTATTTTAACCTTGCCAAAGCATGTCACTGTCATCAGAGCAAACACCTTGATATAAATGGAAGAGACTAAGATTACCTTCCATTATTCTATTCATCCATGTAGCAAACATAAGGAGATTGTTACTCCTATGGATCGTCCAAATACTAATTATTATTAAGAAAACTAACCGTAGGTTCGAAATAAAGAAAGGTCTTGCAATTATTAGGCCCTTCAGATAAAAACTAAATACCCACTATCAAACCAAAATGAATATTATAAACGTAATACCTCCAAAAAAGTACAAAGAAGCATGTTGAAGAATCTGCTATTGGATCAACAGTCCAAACACAAAACCAGTAAACATCATTGATGTTTATAAATAACAACGACTTAAATTATTTAGGATGCATAAATGTACATATTCCAAAGGTCATTGATGTGAATCTAACTTGGAGTGGACTTTTAAAAATTCAATAGGGTCGTGGCACTACTTCAGGCCACTTTAAGACAAAAATGCTTTTATGGGGTCGGTTTTTCATTAATATTATACCAGAAAAAAAATACTGATTGACAGGCTGAAGTATGTAGTTTTCAACAGTATGTACATCTGTTGTATTAAAAAGATTTAGATATCTATTTTTATTTTACTGTAACAAATTCTTTACTTTTAACCACCAGTCCGCCACTAGTTCTTTACTTATGGTAACTAATTCTTAATTTGCACTCATGTTTGTTTTAAAATTTATATGTATGTTGTTGATAGGTATCTACTTAAGATTTAAAATTGGTAGAGTACGAAAAAAAAAACAGAACTTTGAAAAAAAATTTAATCTAGATTATGTAGGTACCTGGTTTAACAATTAAAACTTGTTACTTTTCATACACATTAATACTGCCTGAAAATTTTATAACAAATTTTCTGCCTTCTTCTACAAGACAATGCTCGGGTAACAGTCTCAAAATGTCAGATCTGGGAACAGTGGAAATGTAATTTTCAATGTACTCAAACATAGTTTTTTTCTCGGTTTATGCTTTTTAGGTACTGGATTTCTATTTCATTCACCACAGTCAATATTTTGCCATAGGCACTAATTTTAACCAATATAAAATCACCCGGTTACAGTGTTTTGCCTAATGGCCTAACCCAATGACATTTCATTTTCTGACGAGTCTTCTGACGAACTTGATGGTAACATTTTTTTTTGTTATTTTTGCCTTCTTTTTCTTGAAAGTCTTAGATAGTGTTTTTTATGTAATTTGGCGCTTCAAGACGCTGTTGTTGCCTTGCTTTTTTCTCTCTTCGCTTATTCGTTTTTTGTTTTCTTTCTGCTCATAGTAAGCTGCCCATGTATCGGAGGTAATTACGCTGGGTGTATATTCCTTTTTTCTTTTAATGTTTTTGTTATTTTTTATTGGCTCTGGCCAAGGTAGTAGGTTTTAAAATGCTAATGCTACATTGTTAGGTGTAAATAAAAGATTTCGTTTGACGGATTCTATTTTAGACGTTGTTATCGACGGGCCTTGAACAAGTTCAGATGAATGAACATCTTCAGATGTGGAAGGTACGATAGATCCTTGAGCAGACAGGCCATAAATAGGTTCAGGTGAATGAACATCTTTAGATGTGGAAGGTACTGGAGATCTGTAAAAAGCAGTTGAATCCAAGGAAGTTGTAGAAATAGTTTCTGAATCATGTTGTAAATCTGCATCGGATTCGTTCTGCACAGGTATATTGTCATCTTCATTAGAAGGATTTTGGGTATGGGGAACGTCGTTTGTAATTGACAGCCAGACTTTGTACAGTTCACATGCTGTTTCAGCACCTTCCCAATCGTGACCTCCTCTTTTTGTTAATTTGAACTGCTCCAGCATGTTAATATCAATTTTGCTTTCAAAGTACGTTAAGTGTTCGTTGACAGTAGACTAATTGTTTACATGCACTTCTTTTCTGAGTATTATTTTGTTAAAATCTACGAAGTCTGGTGTAAATTGATAGAGGTCTGTAGCAGAAAATCCAGGTTTTATATTTACCGCCATTTTAGGGTTATTCATTATGTTGGATAGTAAGCCAGGCACAGCAGCCTTAGTTACTTCTTTGCAGTTATTATCAATTTTAAATTTTCGTACAGTATCCCTCCAGTTTTGTTTTATAGGTCCGAAAACGGCTACGTCTAACGGTTGCAAAATGTGGGTTGCATTGAGCGGTAGAGCAACTAGAATTACCTTATTCTCCCGGCAAAAACGGCTTAAATACAATGTTAGATGCGATTTGTGTCCATCAACAAAACCTATTATGGGGAATGTAACCTCTTTCTCCTTCAGAAAAGGCACAAATACATTGGTAAAATATTTATAAAAGCAATCAACAGTGATCCAGCCATTTGAGCTTTTGCCTACGCCCCATTCCTTTGGATTCATCTTGGCCTCATTTTGGGGTATTCTATCGTATTTAAATATTGATAATGGGGAAGCAAACGAACCAGCTGCATCAACAGAAAAAATAACCATGACATTTTCTTTATCGAATCACCCCAGTTTTTGGAGCCAAGACGAAATTCATCCATATTAAAAATCCTTGTTGGATTATTTAAAATTATTTCATCATCTCCAAGCGTCTTTTTTATCTTCTCAAACCAATTTCTAATTTTCTCTTCAGTTACAGCACCCCTACCTCCATAAATATATTCTTCATTTTTTTCTAGAAATCTCCTTGTGTCTATTTAAAAATGCATAATACCAGGTTTTTTCTGGACGTTTATTTACAGACAAAACTTCCAATTTTAATTCGTTCACTAGTTTTTGCACAGAGCTGAGCAAACCATCTTTGTTAATAGGAAAACTCATTTTAGCGCAATCCAAAACCCGATTCACCAGCACTTTTTCGTTACCTTCGCCTAAATGTGACGATTTTCCCTCTAATTTATTTCGTAATGTCCTTGGTATTTTAAATTCTTTACTAGCCTTTAGGACAGGCATTCCCTCACGCACGGCATCCACAGTTTGCTGCATTTTGAAAGGAGAATATTGAATTTTTTTTTTCTTGGGAGACTTCGGCATAGCTTGAAGCAATAGCTTGTTAGTTTTAGCAGTTGCTTAAAACGGAGTGAATAAACATGAGTTGCCTCTATGAAGTAATTGCTTACCGAAACAAAGTCGAATCCGGAAAAACCGAAGCTGTAACTTG